AACTATACTTCTGCAAGGACATTGCCCAGTAACTGTCTGCCCAACTTTGGACTGGCTCACCCCGGTTATTGATCCTGTAGCCAAGGATAATTATTTCAAAACTTTTATGTAATCTTTTTATTTTTTCTTTAAATGGCACACTTATTTCTGTGCAATGCCCTATTCCTGAATAAGCGTCATTTCTTTTAGAGATCCTCTCTTTGCTTGTTATTTATGTTGATACCTATTTTCTATTCTCCTGGCCTGCTTTTCCCCCACATGCAACTTTAGTTCAACCATACAGACTGTTTTGGACATCTACTGTCATTATAAAGATATAGAGCCAGCTCTGTGAATCTGTGGATTCAGCCACAACTGTGGCTAGAAAATATTAGAAAAAAAACCAATGAAAAATTACAGTACAGCAAAAAGATAATAGAAATAAAAATCAATATATACAACTATTATTAGTTACACAACTATCAATACTTACACAACTATTTACATGGCAATTACATTGTATTAGGTATTATATAAGTACTTGAGAGAGGATTCAAACATACAAGACGATGTGCATTATATGTACATACCATACCATTTTATAGAAATGACGTGAGTGTCTGCAAATTTTGGTATCTGAGGGGGTCCTGGAACCAACCCCCCATGTGTACAGCTACAGAACTCTGTGTAGGAGAAACTGAGCCCTGATCTTTAACATAAGAATCTCTTCCCGCTTGAGAGACCTGGAGAGTCATGAGAAGGATATGTGAGTTGTAGGTGTGCAGGAGATCAGAAAACTGGCCTCCCAGGGAGAATGTACTTGTCAGGTGTAGCAATACCAGGCCTAATGGTTATGGTAAAGATTCTCTAGATTCTAAAGGTTTTTTTGATGCTGGAGGCAGAGGTTGTGCTCAGTGTTTACAGTTTTGTAAAAACAAAGGTGGAGACATTCTATCTGACCTTTTCCCTGTCCTCCCAATCATTGCTAATGTTGGGCAAGCAGCTTTTGTCTACTTCTTCCTGTTTTATGGCTCCTCCCAGAGTTTCTCAGTCCCCCAGACACAGACTTTGTATCAAGCATTCCTCAGGCCAAGACCCCCTCATCTGGTGACCCCAAACTTCTTCATTCTGAGCTTCACATATACTGGATCCTGAGTAAATTACAGCAATATATTGTGACTGCATCACTGGGCTTCAAGAATTAAAAAGAAAAAAAGGGAGCTAAAACCTACCAGTGAAAGCCTGACATAATTATTAACGTCACTTCTCTTTCATTCTCAGATGTGTTGCAGGTCGTTTCATTCATAGGCTGTAATATCAATAGCTGGTTTATCATCAGACAACAAGTATCAAGAACTTCCTATGTTCAGATCTAGGGGTTCCCACTGCCTTTCACCTTACCTTCTCTGCTCAGCCAATTCTAAATTTATAGGTTTATTATTTTTACCACTCTACTTTCTGGTACAAGATTTTATATTGGTTAGGAAACAAATCAGAATTTACACAAGCCTAGAAAATAATGAAGCTTTATGAACATGCACAACAGGAAATCCTAGACGTGTTTGGTTGATGCAGCAATTTAAGGCTATCTTTGAGGACCCACTTTTTTTCTTTTCTTTTCATTTTGCTCTTTATTGTGTCAGCTTCATCCTAAACAGGGCTTCTAACCTATTGGTAAAAAGGGCTGCAGCCACTCCAGGCTTTGCATCTGTCTGCATGCCAGGCCATTCCAGCATTCCAAGCAAGAATCCTGAAATTCACCTTCATAGACTTGCTTAGGTCACAGTCTCCCTCCCTAGTACAATCATTTTGGCCAGTATAATGAGATGTGCTCACTGGCTTGAGTAAATTAGAGTTTATTCTTAGAGCTAGGATGAAGTCAGCCTTTCCCTAAGAATGTGAGCTCTTTGGAGGCAGAATCAGGAAAAAGGAAGAAAGAACAGAGGCTGGATAGAGAGCTTGCAAGTTTGCAGTGTACGATATAAGCCTTGATATACCTAGCATCCAAACCTAGCCAAGTTATTAAAGCCTCAAACTTGAGTTATTATGGAGATTACACTAAAGAACTGCTAATTTGCAGCTGTTTAAGCAAAGATAAGAGTTTGTGAGCCAATGTGGTGAGTGAGTGAAAAGGGCATTTTTCCTGTACCTGAAGCCAAACAGATCTGAGTCTTGAACCTGGGTATGAACCTGCAAATTGGGTTTGAACTGTGGCCAAGATGATCACTCTTTGATCTCTATTTTTCCTCTCTTGCAACTTGGGGATAATTTCCCTATCTTACTCAGTTTTGTGAGAAATAAAATAAGATTAGGTATACAAAGTGTTGGGTCCGAGAGAGCCTCCCAAATTAACCCCAACCGACAAACTCGAGACTTGCTCTGATGTAAAGGGCATAAGATGAGATTTATTACAGACCCGGGAACCCCGGGGGTCCTGGGCCTGGACTCTCCTGGCATGCAAGCTAAGGACGAGCCCCGAACTCGGGGTGAAGGCAGTTTTTATGGGGTACAGAAAGCAAGAGGGGTAGGGTCGGATACGAGTACACTTTTCATTGGTGGTTGGTGATTTCATTAGTAAAGGAGGAAGTAAAGGAGGATTTGCATTGGTAGCTGATGATTTCACTAGTAAAGGTGAATTTGGATTGGTACAGGTGACTATTTGGTTGAGTAACTATGAAAGGAATGAGAAAGGTTGCAGGGTGGGCCCTGCGGGTATGGTTTAATGGAATGGGGAGGGTTACAGGGTGGGCCCTGCAGGCCAGGGCCCAGGAACAGTAACTTATGTGGAAACAACAAAATGGAGCTGATCTGGTCCTCACAAAAGTACCTAGCATAGTGTCTGGCACAGAGTAGAAAATCAATGTAAGTAACCCTTTTAGTTTCTAGTCACTAAATTGACTCTGAAATAATCAGCTTAATGATTTTTCCTTGGGTTATTTAGCCATTTGCCAAGCTGTCACAGCTCTGTTAGCCTCCTTATGTAGTTGGAGAAGGAACTTGGTCTCATACTCTCAGCTTCTCTTCTTTGAATAGTGGGAAAAATCTGATATTGAAATTTCCAACAAATATAAATGTATTTTTACATTGGTAATACATGAACATTGAGCTGCCCCCAAATCCTGCTGACCTGTATCATTTTCTTCTCACCCTGGGACACTTCAACCATTGCATTTGATCTTTTCCTGATGCCTCAGGACTCTATAGCTATTTATTCATTTCTCACCAAGACCAAAAGCTGTTTTGCTCCAGGGGAGCCCATTAGCTCATTTGCATTAACTTTCCAGACTTTAAGCCAAAGATCTCAATGTCATAAGGCCGCGGAGCATCAGCAAAATATTTGACTAATTTTTGGTTCCTGCTTTTAATGCCCGACCTTGATGACATTTATGATCATGGCTACTTTTACCCCCAGCCGAAAATGAACTGATTGGTTAGGTCAAACATGTAGGAAATATCAGCATAAACAATGCCTCAGTGAACCTCTCCAAGCAGTTAAGGTCATGAATAATTCATTAGCTTGTAGTGGCCCTCTTTGCTTCTGGTGGTCCCACTATGGGTTACAAGTGACTAAGCTCAGGGGAAGCCCGTTTCTTAGGATAATTAGTCTTCCTTCAGCTCCATTGAATTAGCCTCTTATTTTATTGTACCCTTGGGTTACGGTGGCTATTGAGTTATAAAATAAGCAAATTATTGCTGAAGGTCAACTGCAGACTATTGTGAAGCCCCTGATACTATAGGAATGGGGCTTAAATCATTAGAAAAGTTTAGTTTCTAATTTCATGATTAGGGAGATATTTATTATTTTTTAATCTTCAAAAATGAAAATAGATTTTTTTTCTGGTCATAAAGATAATACAGAGAATTTTAATGAAGAAAAGCAACAGTAAGCCTAAAACCCAATAACCAGGGACAATTGCTGGAAACATTTTGCTGTATGTGGTCCAGACCCCCTTTTCCTTTGGAAGTGTACTATAAATGCAATTTGACCATCATAGGGTGTATCTTTTATGCCCCTAAAGAACTGTTTCATCATTTTTATGACTGTGCAGCATTTTGTTGCATTTGTATGCCAGACTTGATCCAGCCCTCTGTTGATGATCACTCAGTTGTTTCCAAATCGCTCCTATTAGCAGTAACACTGCAGTGGATGACCTTAAACACTTCTGTGTACATAACAGCTTATTGCCTTAGGATACATTTCTAAAAGTGGAATAGCTAGGAAGATCAGAAGTCTTTGATTCTCAAATGATAGCACTGATTCTCAAATGTTATGACAATTTGCATGTTGACTGATACCTGAAAACAGGCCGGAGAGCCTATTAAAAGAAACCCATTGAGGAGATGGCCTTCCAAGTCCTATTCTAAAATCAGTCTTAGACAACCTACAGTAGTGAGGGCCTTGGCTGGTGAGATCCATGAGTGAACACAAGGAAGCCCTAAGGCTATTTTGGATGGTGAGTGTGGGAGATAAGTAGCTATGCCTAGAGGAAATCTTCAGGGGTTTAGCTCTTGACTCTTTCTCCCACTGCCTTAGGATAATTAAACATTAATTCTTCCAGTTCTAGGCTACTGCTAGAACCACCTTGCTAGATGAGGGGTTGATGAAAAACAGGTATAAATTAACCATTCTTGGACAGTCACTCCTGTATTTCCCCCAGACCCTCAGACTAGTATACTGTAAACTAGAGACATGCCTCCTCCCCATCCTCTTTCTTTCTGAATAAGGGTTAAAAAAAACCTTCCCAGGGGATTTGTCTGATGAAGTAGCAGCAAACAGGAGTGGTGGCTCTGGGACTCATCATTTCCCCATCCTTAATCCTTGTAGTAATGACAAAGGTAGGACCTGACCTTTGAATCTTTCTCAATCTACATGGCCAGACAAGCTGGCTGAGCTCATAAACCTAAATATCCACACACCAGAGATACTGGTAGAGACAGAAGATAGATCTTCTGGATAGAGGCAGAAGCAAGTAAAATATTAAATTTAAAAATATAGTTTTTATAAAAAAGAAAACTACTTTAGCTTTATGCAGTGGCAGTATCTTAGCCAATAAGGTTTGTCTGAAGTACGAGATTATTGCTAATCGAAAACTTTTCCTAATACCCTGTCATGATGACTCACAATAGAGTCTGCGTTTGTAATTTGTTTCCTTTTTTAATGTATTTCAGATTAATATGAGGGTACAAAAGATTAGGTTACAGTGTTTGTGTTTGTTAGGTAAAGTTCAAGTTGCAGTTGAGCACTTAACCCAGGGTGTGTGCTGTATACCTTTTTTTTCATTGTGTCCATTAGGTGAGAGCTTACCAAAGCTCCTGCTTCTTCCCCTCCTACCTTCCCCTTCTTCCTCCCTACTTGAATTTAATTGTAGTTTTCTCTCATGTGCAGGTGTACTTGTTTATCTATTGGTTTCATGTGAGCATTGTGCACCTTGGATATTTGCTTTTCCATTTTTGTGATTTTTTACTAAGAAGAAAGTTCTTCAACTCCATCCAGGTAAATACAAAAAATGTAAGGCCTCCATCTTTTTATGTTTGCATAGTATTCCATGGTATACGTATACCACAGTTTATTAATCCATTCTTAGGTTGATAGGCATTTAGGTTTTTTCCATACCTTGGTGATTATAAATTGAGCTGTGATAAACAATCTAATGCAAATGTCCTTAAGATAAATATATTTTTTTTACTTCTGGGTAGATATGCCTAGTAATGGGATTGTGGGATCAAATGGAAGGTCTGTCTTGAGTTCTTTGAGGATTCTCCATTTTTCAAGAGGCTGTATTCCCACCAGCAGTGTAAAAGTGTTCCCCTCTCTCCACATCCACAACAGAATCTGCAGCTTTGAGACTTTGTGATATGGGCTTTTCTCACCGAGCTTAGGTAATATGTCAGGGTGGTTTTGATTTGCATTTCTCTGATGGTTAGGGATGATGAGCATTTTTTTTTTTCATGTGTTTGTTGGCCATTTGTCAATCTTCTTCAGAGAGGGTTCTGTTCATGTCTCTTATTCAGTGATAAATGGGATTGTTTGCTCTCTTCTTGTTGATTAATTTGAATTTTCTATAGATTCCAGTTATCAGGCCTTTGTCAGATTCATAGCATGCAAATATCTTATCCCATTCTAAAGGTTGTATGTATGTTTTAATTATTGTACCTTTAGCTATGAAGAAGTTTTTTAGTTTGTTCATGTCATTTATTTTTGGTGTTGCCATAATTACCAAGAGGGTCTTCTTCATAAAATCTTTTCCCAGGCCAATGTTAAGAGTTTTTCCCATACTTTCTTCTAGAACTTTTTCATTTTGTGTCTTAAATTTAAATGTTTTATCAACAAGAGTCAATTTTTGTAAGTGGTGAGAGATGAGGGTCTGGTTTCAGTCTTCTACATGTGGCTAACCAGTTCTTAAATAGCACCATTTATTAAATAGGGATTCTTCCCCCCAGTTTATGCCTTTTTTGGGGGGGGTTTAATTGAAGATCAGACTGTGATATGTGGCTGGGTTCATCTGCATTGGCAATTTTTGACAGTCTTTACAGAGACTGACTGACTAAATAAGTAAATAAATAAATAAAGGAAAGCTATCACTTCCTTTCATAGCAGAACATGAATATGGATATATTCCATAGATTTTAAGGAGTGAGAAGAGGACAAACCCTGGTGCAGAAAATCCAAGAACCACTGAACCATTAATCTCTGACAGGCAATTTATACTTACCAAGTAGAGGTATTCTTAAGTGAGTCAAGTTCTCACTTACCTCTTGGATAAGTCTTGACTAAGTTAGGAGGTAAGTTGGTTTGGCTTATCTCTCCTTATGTTGAATTTAATATTAATATTATATAATCTCACCTTGATTAAATATGATTTTCACCTTGTAATTGTTTTAGGTATGTTTTTAGTTAACTCATTGGTAAATAGTATAACACCTATCTTATCTATAGCTTGTATTATACATTTATTCCAACCAGCCACCCCAACATCTATTTGATGGATGTCACAGTAGGTATCAGTACAGATGAAAATGAAACATGGCTTCTTCCCTTGAAGAAGTATAGTAGGAGTTAAACATACACATGAATATGTCATGGTGATGCTGCAGTCAATGTTACACAGTTCACTATTGGCAAGGTTGTACTAAAACACGGAATATTTTGATTGTTAGACTGTTTTTTCTTTTTTTGTGATGCAAAGTGAATCATATACTGTATGTGTTTCATGAAAGATGTAATATGTAACTCAGAAGCAAAAGCTTAAACATGTTTATTAGTTATCCTACCAATTGCAGCTCTTCATGAAGACTCTTAAAAGCCTATGTTAGCAGTCTTTTGACATTATGCGCGTACAAAGGGAAAGAGTTATTCTGTTGTAGGCATTTCAAAACTAATGGAGAGAGTGATCTTTGATTTTTAGAACAGATTAAGTGCTCCAAAATGTACATGTGCATTAATAATAAATTGAGCCCAAGGTCAATGTAGCTATAAAGTCATAATAAAGTCTTCTCATATTTACAAGGTGGTAGCTGAATTTTTACTCTTCATAATCTGGGGGTGGGAGGGTTTACTTATGATTGAGAAAGATAGTGTCCTAGTTTGAGATTGGGGGAAAATTAGTGTTATTGGTCCCTGGTGTTTGTATATATTTATTTATTTATTTGGTAGAGACGGGGTCTTGGTATGTTGCTCAGCCTTATCTTGAATTCCTGACTCCCAAAGTGATAGAATTACAGGTGTGAGCCACTATGCCTGGCCTCTGCTGTTTTCTTATTGTTTCATTTATATTTGAATTTCTCAAAGTAATTAGCTTCATAGGATATTGCTAGACTTTTCTTCCAAGCTTTCTCAGCATATCCAAGAATATCTTCAAGATGAGACAGTCTTATCTCGATGCCATATTAAATTTAATCAACTTATAGTATAGTGCATGTATTTCATAACAAGTCAGGATATTTCTTTTTTTTTTCCAAACTTTTCACACATACTCTTGTTGGAGTTGTCTTTTATCCTTCTATTCCCCAAGATCTAGCTCTTTATTCTATCCCTCAGATGTCAATTTAAACTGACAACTCCCACCCCCAACTTATTCTCAGTCTTGATGCTCCTTTTATTTAACATATTATGGACACCTTACCTGCTATATATCAGGGATTAGTAACTGCAGGTGTTAATATACAATGAAAGGCAAAAGAAGAAGAGATTCTTGCCCTCTTGGAGCATACAATGAGGAGAGGGAAGAAGACCTCAAGGAAGTGATCTCACAAAATATAATCACAACTCAAACAGATACCAGATGCAGGAGGTGCTCCATGCTATGCTTTAGAGCAGGGGTCCTCAAACTTTTTAAACAAGGGGCCAGTTCACTGTCCCTCATACTGCTGGAGGGCTGGACTGCGGGCTCCGGGATGAGTCGGCAGCTAAGCAGGACAGGCAGCAGTGGCAAAAACACCTGGTGGGCCAGATAAATGTCCTAGGAGGACCGTATGTGGCCAGCGGGCTGTAGTTTGAGGATGCCTTCCTTAGAGTCTAACCTAGTCGGGTTGGATAGGCCGGACTTCCCTGAAGAAGTGAGATGGAATGCTGTTTTTTAACTTAGTGGCTCTTATGGGCTGAATTGTGTACCCCCCAAATTCATATGTTAATGTTCTAACTTGCAGAACCTCAGAATGTGAGTATATTTAAAGAGGTAATTAAGGTAAAATGAGGTCATAGGAGCAGGTTCCAATCCAGTCTGACTTCTGTTCTTATAAGAAGAGAAGATTAGGACACACAAAACACATAGACAGAAAGCCAACATGTAAAGGTACAGTGAGAAGATGACCATCTACAAACCCAGGAGAGACACCTCAGAAGAAAGCAAACCTGCCGACACCTTGATATTAGACTTCCAGCCTCCAGATTTGTTAGAAAGTAAATTTCTGTTTCAGCCACCCAGTCTCTGATATTTTGTTATGGCAGCCTTACAAAACCAATACAGTGGCCCTTAGAAGTTTTAAATTATTTTATTTATTTGTTGTTTGACTTGTTTGTCTGTTTCTCCCCACTGGCTTAGAGGAGGATTGAGTTTGTCTTTTTTACCATTGTATTTCAGTATCTAGCACAGTGCCAAACATAGTATCTGCTCAACACATATGTGTTGCATGTTGGCAAAAAACACTAAGTGGGCTCATCTCATATTATTGAGAATTCCTGATTGATATTGAACTTTGAATGCTCACTTCCTTTCTTGACCCAGATGGAAACTATATTCTGCCTATGAAACCTTGGGATATGTGCTTCTCTTTCCTTCTTTCTTTCTTTTTTTTGGCCTGGGCTGGGTTTGAACCCGGTACCTCCGGTATATGGGGCTGGCACCCTACTCCTTTGAGCCATAGGTGCCGCCCAAGCTTCTCTTTCTTATGTTTCTTGAATTTCCTCAAAATGAAAGGAAAGTATTCATTTCACATTTTTTCTTAGAGAAGAAATATCTGGATGAATCTCTTAGGGTGACTCTCTCTTTGCTTCTGAGTTACACATTATATTCCTTCTTTGGTTTTTGAAACATAATGCATTTTGAATTCAAATTCAAAATTCATGTTTCATATTTTTGGATTTCATATTTTTGGATTTATCTATCTTTCTGATAGATCCCAGTAGAAGTAGTATTTTTTTCACTTCTGTGAGCTCCATCCTCCCCACTAGTGCTGTGGTCTGCTTTACTTGTTCCACCCCTCAGGAGTCCACAGGCCACCTTAAAAGTCTGCAGGTGGGTTTTCTTATTTGGTGGATCCCTACAGTTTTCACCTAGAAAATGAAACTTTCCTTGCAGGATGTCATGTCTCCTCTCTCCCTTCTCCTTCTAGATATCTTGAGCTGGTTAAAATTTTGGTTCCTGAAATCTGCCACTTTCACACTCCTGAAATCTGTATAATCTCTATAGGCATAAGCTTCCTTCTCTTCAAAATGAAGGGATAGTTTTATAAATTAAAAGTATGGTATACCTTGTAAATGCTTAATAAATTTAGCAAATGACAGGGGTGATGACATTTTTGGTTTCTCTTTTTATTTTTCATTTTATTTTTTAAATCTATCTCTAGTGTTTAATCCATTCTTGAACAGCATTCCTAAAATCATTGACAAAAAATATTTCTTTACTATATCTCCCCTGCTCAAAAATATCTACCTTCCTTAGATAA